GTTAAAAAAAAAACGGAGTTCGTTTTACGATTGTTGCACCCAAGCAAGCTCGGGGACGCGATTCTTTTTTTTTTCCTTTTAATACTAAAACTTATTTAGTTAATAATCTACACGTAAAAAAAGCATTTGAATACGTCGAATCGAAACGCTCGCCGTCTAATAATGATATAATGGCTTTATTGTAATGGTAAAATTATAGTATAATAACAATCACATGTGTTGGTGTTGTAACACGTACGTTCATAAATGATTCGGACATAAATAATTTAGATATCGCACCGTGTGCGCTCGACGTACTGTTTAGAAATCATGTAACATTAAAAATATATATATATATTTATATATATTTATATATATATTCATATGTATAATATATATAATATGTATAAATTGTTGAGTTTTTTTTTTATTTCCTATAAATATCATCTAAAATCTGGCTTGGCAAATTAATCACTTAGAAACAAATTCACAATTTTTCGTTTTAACTTTAGGCACCAATGGTATGCAGACCCTGTCTTTGGTACATACGACCGATTCGATTTAACCATATATTTATATATATGTGTATACGTATCTGAATGTTAGGAGACGACAATAATTATTCTGCTTTTTCAATGTGTCTTCTGTTCGCGAGAAGAGTTCTTTCGTTCAACAGACACACCATTTGCTTCCTCCTGCTGATCTCGTTTGTTCGTTTCACATTGTTCTCGTTACGTTATCATTGTTTCAGCGCGATAGTGCTCGAGGAATCACTTTCGAAGTCTTCTTTCTTTTACTTTCTCTCGACAAAACGACAGTCCTCAATCGCGTCTTCAAACAAAAATTCAGTCTTCTTCCTTCTTCTCTGGTTTCAAGTCTACCATTGCGTGGAGTTCTTCAGGACTGTATCTAAAATTAAATAACGATGCCCTGCTAATGACAGAACGACCATACTCCGGTTGCCAATACGCGTAAACGAATATTAATGTGAATGACTGTAGTTGATAGAAAAGTATAGCACACTTACCCTAGGAGACTCTGTAAGTCACAGACGAAGCGATAAACGTATCGTTTGCCGGCTGTTTTATGTATGATATTCTTGTCGTAATAGTAACGCAGACCGCGGCTCAGCTTCTCGTAGTTCATTTTAGGCTTGTTTTTACGAATGCCCCAACGACGCGCCACCTCGTCCGGGTCCGTCAGCTTGAACTCCCAGCCGTCGCCGGTCCACGAGATGAACCCCTGACACGATTTGTCCGTTAACAGTTCTAACAGAAACTGCCAGAGTTGAATAGGTCCGGAACCGGTGAAGCATGGCCCGCTGCCTGGAACGTCCACAAGGAAACCTTGGAACAATCTTTTTTGCGGGACCAGTTAAACGTTCCGCTTTCGGACAATTATAAATTACTTGTATAGCCGGGGATCATCGCGCTCTGCAGGAGGGGCTTCTGGTCAGGATTGTTTCCAATGGACGACGCGTGATGAGGATTGGAAGAATCCCTGGGTCCAAGACCGGCTAGGAACGCCGGATGATGGGACAGGTGCTCCAGAGGACCGACGCCCCATTGATCACCGCCAACGCCGCCACCTCCACCTCCGCTTCCGCTTCCTGGAACCGTTTGGAATGGCGTTGCGTCGTACTGTCCGTATCCGCTGCCTTCGCTATAACCCTCGTGATATCGACCTACCGCGAATTTCATGTAAATTAGTGATCCCAGATAAAGAACTTCAAAATCTTTAATAATGCTTTATGCTTTAATGCTTTTGCTCTAATGCTTTTCTTTGGGATTCTGACTAATAACATTCTGTTTTTCTTTTCTATGACTTTGCATGTGATCTTAAACTAACTGACGTGAACAGAAACTGAGGGATTTACTATATCACGTTTCCAACCCCTGGCTACAAGCATAAGAACTCACCACGAGGATAATTTTTAAACGGCGACGGTTGATACTTCGGCTCTAGGTGAATCCCGCTGGTGCTGTAGAACTCCGGCGAACCGTCCATGTAAGGGTGCGGCGGCTGATGATCCTGCGACAAACTGTGATACTCCGAGGCCTCGTCGTAGCCAGAATAATGAGCCGGAGTCATGTAGCTCTCCGTCGCTGTTTGACTGACCCTCAAGTCGCTCTCGTTGCTCCCTGTACCCGCGAGATCGTTACCGCTCGTCAATCCACCGCCGCCTCCCTGGAGGTGCTCCGTTATATGGTGATTGCTATAATTCGCTGTAAATAAGTCAACACGACGGTATAATCTAATCTTGCTTCGCACCCTCACGGTTTCGTTTAACTGTTTTCTGTCCGACACACTTACATTCAGTTTTTAACTGGTTTAAGCTCCGTAAATGTATGTAAGCGTTGTTCGCACTGTTGTTGTTATTATTGTTGTTGTTACTGTTCGGAGTGGTGGAATGAGAGTTAGGTGCTTGCGTGTTATGGTTGTGCGGTGGCGGCGATGTTTCATCCTTCTGGTTCTCCTCTTGGCACACGGGACTACGTAAGTGATTATAGCCTCCTGCAATTCAAAGCGAAAATCTCCATTTACCATCCTCGAATCGTTTCAGGTGTCTTCGGAACGTGTAATGAAATTTCGATCTATCGTCTATCTCATCGATCCTGAGGAGAGTGCAGTGTCAACGAGAGGCACGGAGGCTGCAGGGAGGAACGTGGGCGTTGCGCATCTCGACGATTGGCTCGAAACAACTCCGCCTATCCTCAACTTCCTTTCCTCAGCAACGAGGAACCGAGGAACCCGTCCGTCGCACGCGCACCCATTTCGGAGGCTGCGAAACCGCGAAATTCCTCGATGCGACGCGTCTTCGATCGAAATTGTGCAGCCACCGTAGATAGCGTTTCGAATCAATCATTCAACGATAAGGGAAAGTATGAAAAAGGAGAAACTGCGTAAGTTTTAACTGTTTCAACCCTTTTCTTACGGACACCCTGAATTCGTCCTCGTTCGCTGGACGACGTGAGCTAATATCGAAGGATCACGGAATTATGAAACGTTCTCCGTGAGGATCAATGAAACTACTCCATGAGAAACTTTTTCTGAACCGTAGAAACAATGACGTTTTATTCCAGCTGCAATATTTTAATTAAAATCTCATTTAGCATCCTAGCATTTACACGTTGATGTAAAACAAAGGGTTGCTACGATTTCCAGTCACGGTTCTCGCATTTGGTATTCCACGATACTTGTTTCCCTTCGTGCATTATCGTTCGTTTCGCTTGTACATATAAAAAAAAACGACTGCTGTTTAATTAGTCAAACCGAAGCGAAAAATACCGATAACGCTAAGCTCTCATTCTTTCTTCAGTTCTACGATTGCCAGTTTACTCGACTAGCCTCAATTGACAAACCTAACATTAACGGAACGATTTGCAAATATTTCTACTTAACTCGGCAATTATTGTTCTAAAACTCGTTCACGTTTGACGAACCCAACAGGACAATGGCTTCTCATGGATTATTCTAATCCACCGGGTGAGCCGTCGCGTTGCGCGGACAGCCGGAATAATGCGCGATATACATATGTGACCAGCCGACGTTCCCACACTTAGTCTTTTTAACGGTAAGGAAAACAGGTGGCCCGGGGCATTCGATCCATAACGAGCGGCTATCGCTTTGGCTAAACACGAGCCACTGGAATTTCCACGGACCGCTGAAACGATGTTCCCTTACACCGTCGATCAATCGGAGATTTAGATTGATCATTTCTTGGATAAACAGACACGCGATTAAAAAGATAAATGGGCTGATCAAAGAATTCCATGTATAAGCATGTATAATGGTTCGAGAGTACTGACGTCGGACGATTATTTTTAAAACAATGAATTATTACACCACGCTGACTTTCGTTAATCACCGACTGCGGTATAAAGCGACTATCATTAATGTGCATTCGCACAAAATAATTTTCTTACGGGGCTAGTCACGTGAATCTTCTAACATTTCTCGGTGAACTCACGTTTCTCCCTCTGTTTCGTTGATAAAAATAGCGCAAAAGGTTCACAGGACTACGCTTTCGAGAAGATTTTTGGATCGTTAAATATCTCTTTGAAAAGAAAATTAAATCTGGCGAGAGTATTCCTACACGAGAACGAAAAGTGCAATTTTTTAATAATTTTTAGGAGTATTACAATGAAATATTTAATATATAATGAATGTTGATGAATGTCGCGACCTACTCTAAGCAAGCATCTTTCATTCGTGGCCAGATTTCATTTTTTAATACGGTAAAAGAACGAGAGAAGAGTGTAACTACGCGCGGAATTATCATAAGTCCATGCGGGTTCTCATACGGTTCGCGAGGAGCAGCGACGTTAATAGGGCCCAAGGGACGGGCCCTCGTGCGCACCACCATCACTACCACCTACACCTGCGCAGGCTGGCGTGTAGCTGCACCTCGCACCCCATTTCATGGACGGTGAGCGTGGGAGTGCAGCTTCGAGCCGGCCCTCACGGGCGGTGTGCCGCGCGCACACAGAAGACGCCGCCGCCGTCGCCGCCGCCGCCCGGCGCACACGGTTAAAACCCGTCGACACTTTGCCCCGCGTGTACCTCTCTCCGCGAGAGTGGCGTGTACAACCTACATACATGTTTTCATCGAACCTAAATGCACCCTCTTCTCTCTCTCGTTCTTGCACGTTCCTCCGTTCGTCGCTTTCGTCCCGGGGACTCGAAAAAAGGGAACGGGAGCAACGAAACTATTCCGAAATTCCTGAGCATTCAGACCGCGCGTTTGTTCACACGGATGAACAATCGCTGCCCGAGGAACGAACGATTCTTTTTCCTTTCGTCCTGCCTCGCGTTTGTCTTACCGCTTATTCTTTTTTAATCCCCCGGTTTTTTAAATCTGAACAGAGCTGGCATACTTTTGGGCGGTTCTGGAATTTCGCGGCTCTTTAAACTCCGCTCCTCCGCCTCTCGATCTGAGGTCTTTTAATATGCCGACCGTCTCTCGTCGTAGATACCACCGTTTTATATTCATACTTGTCGTAAGCGATGTGAAACACTTCGAATCCGATTCGAAGCTCAGAGCTCTCGGAGTCTCAAAAGTATTAATCGTCTTGAGATCTTCCACTGTCTTATATGTATCGATAGGTTTTGAAGTCGTACGACAAATTTGATTATCGAAAAGCTTTTGTTTATTTTGAATACTAAAATTCCCTTAATTGAATTCGTATTAACCGAAGACCTTTTCTTTACTTTGGGTCGAATTTCATATATTTTTCAATCTACATCTTTCATTTCACTTATTTCATTATTGGAACCATTTGAAATAACAGAGCCTTCCGAGACGATGCAGACTTTCAAGAATTCTTACCTTCGAAACCTACGAAGTGATTCGAATTTCCAGGATCTTGAAAAATTTCGATTCAAACGCTCGTCAGTGCTCACGCCAACAAACCATTATTATAAGATTAGAAGAGATGTTAGATGAATGGATTTCATTTTTGGAACGTGAATGAGGAAACGTGCAGAGTCGTTGATCATTCATTTATGCAATAGTTGAACGAAAGTTAAGCTCGGCTCGGTTCTGGTGGCACTCTAACGAGAGGAGAAACAACGTGGAATGGGAAAAGGAAGAATGTTTCGAGCGAGCAAAAGTGACCAGCCGCGTATCAGCTGTGGAACAGGTGCCGAGGGTCGGTCAGCGAGTAACGGCGGAGCAACGAAACGAAAACCAGCGCAACGTGGCCAGCAACACGAGGCACGCGCCAAATCGAATGAAACGGCAGTCGGGACAGCTCGCACAGCTGCTGCGTGTGTACAAGTCGTCGAAGAAGAAGAAGAAGAAGAAGAAGAGGACGAGGAGGACGGGGCAGACCCGGCGGCCTCTCGAAAATTAAAACCTGGCCCGCGAACGCTTTCAACGCCGGAAGCCCATTATCTATCTTTTTCTATATGTCTCTCTTCCTACTTTTCTTGGCCTGTATCGAAATCGTTCAGGCGCACCAAGTGGAGACTTATTTTTAGTTTTAATTACAATTCGACGATAAAATTGTCTGGATTTTACGCGAGGCGAGACATAATACAGTAAATGTTCCAATTTCTATTCACTGTCTCTTCCTTCCTATATTTCAACATGTAATCTTAAACCAGTGGGTAGAAAATAATGACGTGAAGAGAAATTGAAAGACGTACTATACATATATCAGTTTTAAAAAAATGATATAAACAGGAACAGCTTTTAAGTATTGTACATTGAATTAAGGGGATTTTAGTATTCATGAAGAATTCCAAATTTGTCTTCGTGTTAGATGTCACGATTTACGCTGCCTTATATGCAAATAATCGACTTCGACTTTCATTAAGAATTCAATGAATGCATGCAAGCTTGTGTTATTTCAAAATACACTAGAAGGTGAACAGATTTTCAGAGGAACATGCATTTTCAGCTAAATTCGTTTTATGTGAAAGATCATTAAAATCGACGCTGGAAATCTGAAAAGAATCCGAAGATCGTCGCGTGGCAATGAACATGCGCTAGCAACAGCGAACGATTATAAGGACTGAAGGTTAAAAAAAGAGAGAGAAAAATAAAAAAAGTCGCTCTCGGCGGCAACGAAATCGCTTATTGTTCGGTAGACCGGTGACCTGCGAACTCTCCCACAGTCCCTGCGGGCTGGCATCGCGACGATGCGACGCGAGCTGGTGCGCGCGTGTTTTTTCAACCAAAACGAGCCGTGCGCTGCTGCGCGAGGAAACGCGTGGAAAATTTATACGCGCGTCACTTTATCAACGTGAACATTTTATACGTCGCGTCCATTGTTCGAGACCGCAATTTTCTCTGTTGTTCTACGACTCTTTTTTACGAACCGCCGGGACAATAAATCTTTGGTGAGACGCCGGCTGCGCTCAACCGTCCAAAACTATCGTTTCTAGCATTAAATTCCAGACTATGGATTTTACCTAAAACCTTTGTAAACTAAGAAACTGGAATTTGAAGACTTCTTTCACTCTTCAAAAATTATACTCTTGATGCTCTGCACATTTTTCCATTTTCTATGCATTCTCACATTTTATGCATATCGAATTCTTCTACTAAGACGTAAAATCCGCAAATCTGTGTTATATTAACTGACAAGCTAAGTTTTACTATGTCTGAATTGTTAGTTCCACGTAGAATGTTGAAGCTTTACACAAGACTGATTGCATTATTTTTTAAGTGAAGGGATTCAATGTAACAATCAAATACCTATTGCACACGTTACTGTCTACTAATCTACAGAATATCTACGTACGCCTCGCTTTCAACAATCTATGAAAACAGTCGAGGCAGATTGTAGTTATCCTCGCGCGACGATTCCCAATGTATACATATGCATTTATTCATTTTTCCATGCTTCCGCATATTCAATCGTTCCTAAGCTGCTCGTATATTTAAAATCGTACGAGCCGTATCTTTGCCAAAAGTTCAATAATGTGAAAAGGAGCTATAATCACTATTTGTAGCGATTAACTTTTAAATTGTATCCTCGGAGATAATATTATGTCAACTTTAAAAT